CAAGAGCATTCTTCCTGAATTGAACTTGTTTATTATAGTTATCTCCAAATCAATCTATTGTTCTAGCTAGCCTTGTTTATAAATATGAGCAAACATTTCAATTTCATGCTGTATCTTATTATGAAGAAGAGTTATGCATAGTTAGTCACATCATTGTTCTAGATGCGCTGTTTGCAAGGACAGAATAAGTCTTTGTAGACTTCGTCACTTCAAAAGAAAACTTGCAAACTGATTTATTTTCTAGTACAAATAACCTAGAATTCATGGAACTTGATCACACACCTAGTTCTGCAGTAGATGTTCTCCCTCTTCTCTGCTAAGCTTACTCTTAAGAATGGCTGGAAATTAGAAAAATGTATGCTGTCTCATACATTGTTTGATTACAGATTTCTTTACAAAATTATTTTGCAGGAGTGGGTTAGAACTCAGTGTTGAGAATTACAGTGGCGTGGAGGGAGAGTTTCTTTCTTGCTTAGCGTACAAAGCAAAGTACTCAGTTTTTGGCCTGAACGCTGATCTCTTCAGTTCTTACCATACTCTCTTCTGTTCTTGGAAGTGCTGAGCGTACAAAGAGTACTGCTGAGAAAGGTGATATATAATACTCATATTTCACAGGTTATTGGAGTCAGAAATTGGTGGTAAGCACATTCTTTTATTGTTTGTCTTGAGGTTTGGCATCTGCCTCTGAAGCTTGTTCATTTGAATTGTCATCTATTGCATAATCTTGTTTCCTGATGGCATCTGTCTTGGACTACTTAGATATGGTCTTCTAGATGTACCACCCCCCTTCCTCCCCCAACACACACGCACTCTTAGGCCTTAGGTAAAACTTTCCTGCTCTGTAATTGTTGAGTTTTTGAGTATTTTTTTCTTTCTCTGATGAAACAAGTCTGAATGACAGAACATACTTGAACATAGTTTCTAATCCTATTCTTGGAAAGTAAGACAAGACAAACGTACATGTTCCTACAATATGGCAAAAAAATAAATATTAAAAAAAAAAAAAATTGATGATTCTGTGTGTGTGCTAACCTGAAAGACCAGCCAAAAGCTAAAAAGATTGAGATGAATTTTAGCAAATAGGAGAGTTGAGACAGAGCTGAAATCCTGTGAAAATTCACAAAACTGATAGGCAGTAACTGTACTTCCAAACTATGGTATTGCTTGTTGCAAAGTACGGAGGTCTTACTTTGTTTTTGTGTTGAATAAAGTAACTTCTTCTCTAAGACTAAATCAAAATGTAAAAGCCTAAGCAGTTGTGCTAGTCTGAAGGCATCTTTTAAACCAATTTTGGATGATTTCTTTTTCTTATTGTTTTGAAGAGTACCTGGATGGACCTGTTTAGTTATTCCAGTGCAACAAGAGAGGAGATTGGTTATACATTTTGGTGTGGGATTGGAGTTCTATTCTTGTAGACTGTGTTCTATAATAATTTGTTCATTCTTCAGAAATAGTGACAACATGGCTAATATTCTGTGGCTGATAAATAGTAACATTTTGAAGTAAGCTTTTTTTCCTTCTGTAACAGGTGCGCCTGAAATTAGCAATGGTTATTACTGAAATCTGATAAAATAGATTTATTTCTTTGAGCTGTATGCCTGTGGAGTGGGAAAGTTAACAATACTTAGAACTCTTCTGAAAGATAACCTTATCAGTAGGAAAAAATGTTCAATTACTTTAAGCTCATGACCAAGACATGAAAATCAGATGGGCCCTTATAAATCCATTGTGCACTTTCTCTTCTTCTGTATGACTGATTCTTGTGCTTTTTCTGCTTTGTGTAGTCTTATACTCTCTGGGAAAGAAGAGCTCATGTCTAGAATATGCTTCAACTAGTAAATAATGCTGAGATTTTCAGTGACCTCAGGATTTTGTTTGTTTGGATTTTTTTTCTGTTGTTTTTATTCATACGGTAGTATTCTATCTTGCTGAATCTCAGATTCGCAGAAATAGATGAGTGTTTAACATCTACAGTGAAGATTAAATGTGTGAAGCCTAGAACCTGATGTGCGTCTTCTTACCCAACTGCATTTCTACCCTAGGATTTGCTATACGTTCAAATAGAATTTTCTCAGGTTTGTCAGCGTGTAATCCAGACTGCAGTTCTCTTCCTTTATCTTCTGAACTCTTCAGCATTTTATTTTAGAATATTTGTTCATTGTACTTCTATTTCCTGTTTGTTGTCTTTCTGCTGCTTAATAAAATAAGATACCGTAGTATATCCCAGTGGAATCAATTACTAGCCTTTCCTAATTTATTTTCATATATTTACTGTTTAACCTGTGTAGATCTTTATGTCCAAAAATTAAACTATAAAAGCATTTTAGGGAACTTCATAAATATTGTTCTTTAATGAAGATGAGAACTTTTTTCTGGACAAATGGCGTGTTACCCTTAATGTGATATTCAATTCTTTTTTAATCAATTTTTTAATTAGCATTATTTTTAGTGAAGCTGCAGCATTCTGTCACTTGTGCAGGTGGTTTGTGTAATTGCCTCAGAAGTGATAGAATGTATAGATGAGGGAGTGTAGTCTGACCTGCTTCTTCAAACATGTCAGATAGGGGACCTAACTGCAGGAGGCCATTTCTGTTGAACTAGCTTTAGGAATCTTTCATTGAATTTCCATGGTTCTGTGTTTCTATTTTTAATAGAAACTGTGGCAGTCCTTACACCAGTTTTGCAGGGCTGGCAAAGATGCAGGGAAGAGTGGAAAGAAGTAAAAATTTGGTGATTGTGTTTGATTATTTTATTTATTATTAGTTTTGAGTCGGGAGAAGACTGATGTCCCAGAAGTATTGCATGTGGCAGTACCTGTGAAAAGCCAGAACACAGTGCAAAACTGTATCCCAAACCTTGCTAACTGTGCTAACTCAAGTTTCCTCTCATCCTTTTTGCCAAATCTTAAGTATTTGGCCTGTCCTGTCATCAGAAGATAGTGGCTTCATTTTTTCAACTTATATGAAATTGTTAAGTGAACTCCTCAGAGTTACTGTATGAGAAATTGCACAAGGCTGTTGTCTTTTTTTTCCAGCCAGTCTATTCAAGTTTTCTTTAATTTCAAAAAGGAGAAGAAATTTACAAGGAGGAAAAAAAAGGGTAAAACAGATAGCATTGAAAAGGATTAGTCTTAGTTTTTATAGGCTTGGAAATGTTGCGAAGATACAACTTTAATTGACAGTATTGTTCCTTTATGGATTAGAGATTTCAGAGTTTACATGATATTAGGTCAGTTAAGCAGACTTGTTATATTTGAATTATTCTAGTAAGCCATGAAGCCAAATGTCTTTCTTGTTTGCACTAGAAATGAATGCTTTGTTTTTGTTTGCTTTTAATGTCTCTGTGGAGACAGAGAGGGGGAAATAGCCATTGCAAGCAGACAGACCATGTCGACCTTAAGTTAGTAGACGTTTATTTGCTGGAGGGAATTGAAAGATATTTTGAGGTGCTGGGTAAGAATCTTGGTTTAATCCCCATGAAGAGGACATCTGTCTTTGTATTTCTTTCTTAAAAGCTATCTCTGGTTAGGGTTCATTTTAATATTTAGTTCCTGGATAGCAGGAGTGTCTGTTCTCATGACTTCATCTTTATCCTCTGCTGCTGAGGATAAAGCATTGTTTTTCAGTATTGTTATTTTGCCCCATAAATTGTATGTGCACTCATACAAACTTAACACAAGTTATCATTTTTTAATTGTTTGGGATGGGATGGGCTTTTAGTTCATAACAAGAATTTAAGGTGTAATGTAAAATTTGTTGTAATGAGTAGCTTTTCATTAATTTCTCTTTAAAATCATTTATCATATCTTGTTGCATTTCAAGGTTTTCACTTCTGTGTAGCTTTTTTATGTGTTAAGGAGTAAAATGGTGGCAGCTCACCCAGCTTAAAAGATCAAATTATATTTTCATATGTTGATTATAAATATTTTGACTTCAGCAGGCATTGAGCATTTTCAGCCAGCAGTTCACAGGCTAGTTTTTGATTGTCTGTAATCAGGAACTTGTGTTACAGATTTTAATTTTTTTGTTAATTTTGGGAATCTCCCAAGTAGCTTATTTGACTGAGATAAAAGTCTAACTGCTCAGTATTCTAGACTTGGGTTTTGAATCTACTGTGTAGTGAGTCTGAATACGTTATCTGCTGAAGCTGCAGAAAATAATTTGGTACTGGAGTGCTATTCACTTTATGAAATAGTTATTTCTCATGCCATCTTCACTTATTGACTGTCAGTCTTCATAGATTGTGTTCCTTTTTAACATGTTAATCACTATTAATTTCTTTGATGTGTGAGTAGGTTACCTGCTGTGGCTATTTGAGTAATCTTTAAGAGAAGACAATCAAAGAGAATAAGTAACCATCTTACACAAAATTAATTTCAGGATGATTTCAGATGATTTCATGTTGGCAAGTGTTGGCAGTGTTAGAACTCATTTCTCTAGCTCAGCTACAGGCTTATAGTAATGCGAAATAATAAACTATGACTGAAGTCTACATTGTTTGACCCCTCGAATGATACAAACCTGCACACTGCAATATCCAAACAGATGGCTTAAAGCATTATGTGTGGAAGATGGGGGCACAAGTGACTGTTATCAGAATGTTCTTCAGTATTGTTCCAAAGAAATGTCTGATATGTATTTGGAATCATTTAGGACAGATTATATGTCTTTATAGCTTTATGTATAGCTTTCATGTAATATGTATACAGAGTTGGCAGCTTGCTTCACCTCTGTTATTGCATGAGAGGCATGTGGAGGTAATCCATAATTCCTGCACTAGAGATTACTGTGTGCAAAATACTTTGTGTGTGATAGATTTGAGACGAGTAGAATTTTAGATCATTTCAGACTATCACATATCCTGCTTTACTTCAGTGATTAGACTATTAATATGAACGCATCAGTTAACAGTTTATTTTCTTGGTTAATTACAAGAAGAGACTTGAAAAAAAAAATTCTGAATATACAGTAATTAAAGTTTTTTTTATTGTGTCTTTGCAGGAGTACCAAAGTCAGATCTTCTACATACAAGATCTTTAAGGGGACACAGAGACTGCTTTGAAAAATTCCATTTAATTGCAAATCAGGACTGCCCACGTTCAAAGCTCTCTAGAAGCCCATATGCAGAAGTAAAAAGTATCTTGAGCAAAAAAATTAACTGGATCATACAGTATGCACAAAACAAGGATATAGACTCCGATACTGAAAGCTCAAAAACATCCCAACACCCGCTTTTTAACTTGAGACATCAGACTGATAGAAAATTGCTCCCACAGTTTGACTCTCCAGTACCTAGATACTCTGCAAAATGGATAGATGGAAATTCTGGAAGCATCTCAAACTGCTCACAAAGTCTGTTAGAACAAAGCGAACCCACTGATTTCAGACTTGGTATGTTACAAGAAGCAGGTGCTACGTTCTGTTGCAGCAGTGTCTTGTGGTCCAATCGCAGCCAAGCCCAGAAAACTGAAAAAGCTGAAACTGATTCTCTCACCAGTGTTCACAGAAGGCATCCTCATTACAGCAGGGAGGAATGTAAGTGTATTGCTATCTAAATGCAACATAGCAAGCAAGGGGCATCCTCTGAAATATCTGTTGATCACTTAGTGTTCCCACAGGGCGTTAATTAACAGCCTGAAATGCAGCTTTTAACGGTTTGGAGTCTCTGTAAAATCTGTGAATAAGGTGACTGCACAGCTAAGCAGATGGGGGGAGGAGGGAAGTAATTGTGCCAATTACTAAACTGAAATCAGTGTGTCAGGTATCTTGAGTTAACTTTTGCACAGAGACACTCTAAACAGTAGAAGAAATTAAAGGTGAAGTAACAGAGCAAATCTGTGAAGCAACATACAGAGTTAAATGTTGCAATAGCAGCGGACTCTGAAGGCTCTCATGCTGCCATATCATCTCAAACACTGTAGAGTAGACCTGGTGATTCTTGTGGTAACTGTGGTGACGTTGAAAGCAGCAGAAAATTAATTTTCCTGTTATTTTCTCTAGAAAAGTCTTCAGAAAGTAGTTGGAAAGTGCTTCTGAATTTCAAAAGATATGAGAGAGATGAAAAAGATCATAAAAAGTTCAGTGGAAAAATTAGGTAACAGGAAAAGAAGGCAACGGTAGAACTCAGAATATCAGAAGAGTGAGAAAAGGAGATGCTGTTAAAAAAAAAAAAAAAAAAAAAAAAAAATTGGGTTCAGTTTCTTTAGATTCCTATTTTTAATGAACTAACAAAACTCATCCTTGCAGAGTTTGGTTATTCTTCATTATTTACAAGAAGATTTTAACTGCTGCATGATGTTTCATATTGCATTTGTAATGAATTAGTAGTCTTAAAGCCATAAATCAAAACAGATGTGTTGTGCTGTTTGACCACCTGTCTTCTGGAGTCGTAAATTGGGATTAAATACATCAGGGCAGAAGTTAACAGAGGAATTATGAAAGCTTGACCTGGTTTATGGAATTATCTAACTGCATTTAGTCACTTGGAATTTATCTCTCTGATTTCAAGACACGGAAATATAAAGCTTTTTTAAGCATGATAGCAGATTTATTTTTCTTTTCCCTATTTATTATGACTACATAATGCATTATTAAGACATTTTTGCTTTATAATATAAGTAATCTTTTTGCAGTATTTAGCTCTTCTGCCTTGAATGATGCTCATTTGAAGACTGGTGCTTACCTAAAGTTTAGAGAAAAGTCTAGTCAGGCTATCTATACCAAAATTAGGCAACATAACTGATATATCCTCATATACACACTGATAAGGGCTAATGTGTCCTGATATACACACAAGGGTAATGTGTGAACCTACCTACTTGCTATAGCTGATGAAATGTTAATGAAAACAGTGAAGTAGAAAGTAACTTCTTAAGGATGGTTGTAGGAAGAAGAAGATTTCTTGTGTTTTTACTTATGTATTTATTTATTAAGCTATTGATTAACATATTACATCTTATCAGGGTTTTCATGGAACTTAAGAAGTCTTAACTTTTAAAGGATAGTAAGATGTGAGAGAGGAATTTCTATTGATAGCTGAAAGGAGTACTACTGTAGTTGGCTGTCAGTGGAGGCTAGTGGATCTGCTTCCCTAAGACTTCCATAAGTGGCCTTATGTCTTGAGTAACAACAAATTGGCTCTTGTAGTTGCTATGACATCTTTAATTTGACAATAGCAACATAAAGTTAATGCCCCATAACTGCAAGATGTGAGAAAGGTTGGAAGAGAAACCATAGGGAAATAGAACAGTCTTTGGGGTAAGTAAAAGTCAGCCTCATCAGAACAAAGTTTAACAACATAAAAACTTCTTGCATTCAGAAATCCCTGAGCAAAAGTTGTTACTGCAGCATGTTTCTTTTTCCTTAGTCTCCATGTGACATTGTTTTGCCAGGCTGCACTATTTGGGGTGGGAGGCTGAAGGGTTTACAAGGTATTAAAGTCTGTTTCAGTGTCCTGTAACCAGTGTCCTGGTGATCACTGTCATCAGTTCCTGCCATTCTGTCCAGTTCATCACACAACAGAAGTGGCACCAAACTCTTCCCACATCATCTGGGTTGAGGACAGTGCTTCCCTATTCACTACTGTTGACTCAGATCTGCATAGAAGACTTCCAGAATTCTCTGCATTGAGGTTTAATACACATTTTCTCTGAAGATAAGCAGTGTGTGCTTGTAAAGTGAGATGTAAGAGGGGGCTTATGAATGATGCAGAGGATCTTTTAGTTCTCTAATTCAGGAAGATGAGAAGTAAGCCTTTTATATGTTGGTCTTTGCTTGCATCAAACTGAGGTTTTTCTTCATCAGCTGTCACTGAGTTACTCTGTGGAAACATTATTTCTATGTTATGGATTTCTATATTATGGAGACATTATTTCTGTATGCCAAAAACACAGAACTTTCTAGGCAATCAATGTAGTTATGCGCTGAAAATTCTGTCCAGGAGGGATTTCCTATGGACTTCAAAATAAATAAAATAAATAAAATAAAAAAAATAGCAGGACTTGCTTCAGTATTGGCTGCTTGACATCAGCTGAACAGATGTATTTGCAGGGGTCAGAGTGTGGAAAACATGTTACGCTGTCAGAAGTTCTCATAGAAGTGTTAAAAGGGGGCAGGCAGTCTACAAACAATTCTGATTCTGGGCATTTCTATTTTGAGTGCTTGATTTGACATTGAGGAAAGGACTTTCCTATGGAACTGAAATCTATGTCAATGTCAGGAGACACTTTTCAAGTTTTCTAAAATGTATTAATGAACAGTGCTGCCTCTGATTTACTGTCATGCAACGATTGATTATTAGGTTGCAAATTAAAAAAAAAAAAAAGACAAAAAGGCAGTCTGTTTAGAGGTGTTCATGTTATTTTTGTAGAAGTGATAACTGATTTTATTGTTACAGTGAATGCAATGACTCCTGGAGAGTTAAAGCAGCTGACTGAAAAACTGCTCAAGCAAATCCAGGGTGAGAAATTTTCAGTACTCTTTGTTTTGGTTTTGTACTGCTTTGTAATAAAGAATCTTCTATTAAAAAAAAAAAAAAAAAAAGTGAAGGCTTTACTGTCAGCTAAATTTTGAACTAAAATCTCTTTGCACCTTGTTCCACATGCGAGAAACTTCAGTGCTTCTATTATGTAACCTTCTTGAGTGACACAAACTTGCACATAATGTGCGTTTTCTTTAATTTTTTTAACTGGATTCAGCTTCGTTTCAAGTTACAAACTGATCCACCTTGGCTCAGGTCCCCTAAAACATAACTGGTGATTCTGTTTAATATACAGTGCATATACCAGGCTGTGCTGAAGCTTGTTCTTGTGTGTGAGCTCACTTCATTATTAAGAAGGCACAGATATTTATGTTCACCATTGCTTCTTAACTCTGTAATAAAAGTACAGCGACCAAATGCATTAACCTAATAATTAATGTTCTTGCAGATGTATTTGAGGAACTGACGCAACAAGTCCAAGAAAAGGACTCACTGGCTTCAGAACTGAATGTCCGTCATATTGCTATAGAGCAGCTGCTGAAGAACTGCTCCAAATTGCCATGTCTACAAATGGGACGCGCGGGAATGAAATCAAATGTCCCCATATGATGGGGATACAGCTCATATCCCCTGTAGAGCTTACTTTCCCTGGTGGCTTTGATAACCATTAAATACAGCTGCACAGATATTTAGAAGCTTTTGAGGAAACTCAGGCAGCTTGCTCTTTGCATTCCTAATCCATATAAAGTCTTCAGCCACTTCGGTTTTAAGAAAACACACAAATATTGTAGGTATTTAAACCTATTATAATGGGGTTTATTCCCATCCTGGGTTTGTTTTTGCCCATAACGATGCATGAACCTTGAACCAAATTTTGTGTTCTGTTGATAATAAAATTGTTTCTAACAAAGAACGACCTGAACCTGCCCATTCCATACAGAAGTAAATCTGCCTACTTCATACAGAGGAGGAATAAAAAACTGAGTTTTGATCAGATTTGATCATGTTACATCAAAGAGAGCTTTAACAGGAGAACAGTATTAATGAAACTCATGTCTTATTTATTATGAGCAATATTTTTATTGAGATTTTGTACTAAATAATGCTATTTTAGATACTTTTCCAAATCTCTTTATAAAATGTCTAAACTACTCTGTGTAAAGTTTATGCCTTGTGTATGATTGTTTATCCTTTTTCAGGTCTGTATCTTTCATGATACAATGTTTAAGAGAAAAAAAAAAAGCGAACTCAAACCTTATTTCCCAAAGAGATGAATTTCACTTCTTTAAAAAAAAAAAAAAAAGTGGTGGTGCATCACCTATTTTTATCAAATTTGTAACTGAAAAATTTGTTTCATGAGAGGTTTAAAAAAAAAAAGAAAAGCACAGCACTTCATAATACAATCCATACTTAGGATTTAATGCATAGAAGTTGTTTTGTATGTGTGAAATTTTCAATGCTGAAAAAGATGACTTCAAGAAACTAAATAAATTTGTAATACTGCATTACTCTCGTGACTTTTTATTTTCATGAATTTGTATCTGTGATGTTTGTATTTCAGAATCAGAACACCAGTAATGACACATTGTAAAACAGAATAGTCTGCTTTTTTGAGAACTTGTATTGGTCAATCATATTGAAAAGTTCTAGTTAATGTTTATTGAAATAACTGTAGAGCTGCATTTACATAACTGAAAATGACAGGTTTGCACTGGAAAAGTAAGGGGTGGTGGGAGAAGCTTTATTCTCCCTAAAGTTCATCTGTGTGCTCTCTGTTTTTTTTAATTATTTCAGATAAAAAGTGAAAGTTACGCAGAATGACTAGCAAGAGGAAAGATTTAAGTTTGGTTTTAAAGTAAAACTGCAAATTAGCTTAAGTTCAGTTTTTCCATCATCCTACCTGACATCTGAACCATGTAGAACAGATATTTATGTATTTATCTATCAGAATGCAGTTGTTAAAAGGCATTCTGAGAGGTGTGAAAGTGTGCAGGACCAGGACTTGAGCTCATCTGTCTCTGGATATTTTTGTGGTGTTTAGGAAGGGAAAATAGCGATAGTGTTGTATTGCTTGCAAGTACAAGTGGGTGTATAAGTAAATGTGCAATAGGTAATCCCTGATTTTGGCTGTCAGAAGATGTACTAATAAATATAACTGTGGATATTAATCCAATATGAAAATAACTGCAAATCATAGGATCATAGAACTGCTCAGGTTGGAAAAGACCTTAGAGATCATCCAGTCCAACCACAACCTAACCATGCTACCATAACTAACAACCCTCCACTAAATCATGTCTGTGAGCACCGCATCCAAACGGTTTTTAAACGCATCCAGGGATGGTGACTCAACCACCCCCCTGGGGAGCCTATCTCAGTGTTTAGAGAGCTTATCCCAGTGCATAATATAAGGTGAGAGGAGAAATGCCATCATTGCTTACGTCCATGAAAATGATCATAATTCAGCCTATTGTAGATTGCATCTAGAAGTCCCAGCTATCTGATTAGATTGATGAGGAATTTCATTTAACTGGATAGTGAGATGTTCTGAAAGAATTAGGTTGTATTTCTGCTCTTGTCCTTGCCTCTGTGGGAATTAGAAGTACAGCATCTACATTTAAGTCATCCTACCTAATACCTTTCTATGGACTGTATTTTTGTAGATTAGATTTTGATACAAGCAAGGTGAGGAGAGTTGTTCTGTTTTTAAGGTAGGTTATCATTAAGGACAACTTATAGAGCACATAAGCCATAGGAACACAATTTTTTTAATGCTTTGCCCTTGATCCGATTTTGAGTCAGGAAGAAAGCACAGTCCTAGCTTATGTTCTTAAAATCTAACTGTATTGCTGCTGCTTCTTATGTTCTGAGGAAAATGCTTAGAGTGCAGAGGGGTCAGCATGTTCCCCAGCTGTCTGGCAGCTCAGAACTGGAGCTGCTGTTGTATGTCTTTGTATATCAGGAGTTTAAGGAGATAGATGTGCTTGTGCTCTCGGATGCTTGGCTTCAAAATAATAGAATGGCTTGGGTTGGAAGGGACCTTAAAGAACATCTAGTTCCAGCCTTCCTGCCATAGGCAGGGTTGCCAACCACTAAACCAACGTGCTATAAGAAAACACAGTCACATGCATGGGGTTTCTTTCCTCTTGCCTTCCCTGACTTTTGCTGAGAAATCTATAGAGTAAATCATACCTCAAATTTGAGCTGTTTCTGTATATGTAATGTTGACCCTATGGGTATTCCGATGCAAGATGTGTTTTGAGTGACTGGTAAATAAGCTTTTCGTGGGAGGAGAAAAGTGTTTGCAAGAGAGTTGAGGCAATGAACACCTATCAAACAAAAGCCAATATGAAAGTCTTAGCAGCTTGAAATTTAGTAGTTTTTCTTTGTATTGCAAACTATTGCTCATTGAAAATACAACCAAGAACTGTCCAGAAACTGGTGAAGCAGTGATCTTCATGAAGTGCTCTCTGAAAACACAGAATTGCTACTGCTTTTCTGTTTTTTGTTGTTTGTTTATTGCTGTGGGTTTTTTTTAATTGCTGGTGGTAAAGGACAGAAAGAATCCTAGTTTTCTTTGTGTGGGGAGGGTAATTTTTGCTTTTCGCAAAACTATATGTTACCAATAAAAATATTCTCCTAAACTTAATATTAAATCCTATTGTTACTTTCTTTATACTGCAGTGCTTGGAGACCCCAACAGTGAGAACAGAGCTGGATGTAAAGCTCTCAGACAGTAATTAATTTCACAAGGAGTCTTGCTTGATCAAAACGAGATCCATATGAGTGTAAAAGCTCAGACTGCAGAGTTGGATCCATTTAAGAGCTTAATCTATTATGTTCATGTAGATTCTTCCTGTTTGTTCTGTTTTGTTTTGGTGTCTTTTTTTTTAATGTTTTTTTGTTTTGTTTTGTTTTGTTTTTATTGGAGGGAGATTGGGAACAGTTCAATAACTGTATTATAAAAATGTTGCTATTTTCTCCCCTTTTCCTAAGTTGAAATCTCATGTTGGATGTGGATATTGTTAGCACCCCCGAATGGTGATGCATGCTCTGGTTTCCATGCCAACGAGCCATTTCCAGAAAGAGGGTATGGGGTTTGGGGCTCGTTGCTGCTTTTTCATTAATCAAGCCCTAGGAACAGAATTGATTTTTGTTTGTTTGTTTCTGTTAGACATCTTTCTTCCATGTAACATTCCCTAGGTAATGCAGCTGCCTTAATTGGAAATGCAGATTGCATATGGCAGTTATTTATTAGATCGCACATGCATTAAATTTGGTTTATAAGATTTAGGTTGACTACGTTTGAACACCAAGATTTAATTTTTAGGAATAAATAATAAAATAATGAGTTACTTTCTTTTCCAGATTGATTGCTCATTCTTTTCCCCAGAATTTTTGTTTCTCAGCCTGAATAAAATTTTAATTCTGTTTTTTACTGCATATAAAATTAGCGATGTACAATGTGAAACAACAACTGGGAAATTCTAGTAATTGCATTAAAGCAAAAGTCCTTTTTTATTGTGTTGACTGAAGCAGCCACCTATTCACTTGTGTTTTGCAGTAATTAAATGAAGCTTTAAATGTTGGTTTTAAAAGAAAATTGTATTAAGAAGGGGTGTCTGAATGAAGGGAAGTAGGAATGCAGGAAGTGGTAGTTCTCTAGGTAGATAAAATTCTGCAGTAGAGTGGAAGAAACAGAGATGCTGCTGAATTGCTATTGTTTGGCAGTGTAATAATAACATGAGTCAGTTCTGGATTCCACTGTGAAATGAAAGACAGAATTTATCATGTTTTTCTTGCTCACTTAATTTATATCCTATATAGTGCCCATCACTCTGAAACCTACAAGAAATGTCTTGCAGTCGTTTCTTCATCTACCATCTGCTGAACATCTATTTAAAGAACTGGTTTCCTCAATTAGTGAGAACAAATTAATTTGCCAGTTGAAAGCGCAATTGCAGAGGCGTTTAATTCTTTTCTGTAGGTCTGTCCCAAGGTAGCCACTTCCAACATCTCCTGGCACTTGCCTGTATTGACCTCCTGTGCTCGCTCTCAGTTCCATCCTTGCATTGCCATGAAAAGCCTGAGAAACAACATCATTTTTCAGCTAGCACAAACAACAAGCAAATCATAGTTCTCAGTACTTGTAATTCATGGACTTTTCCTCTTTGCCCCTCCGGTGCATAACCTGCACTCCTTGTAACCCTTGCACCCCTTGTTACCTTCCCCACCAGCCCCCTCCTGGTTCAGTTGCTTCCTTTCCAAGAGTCCTAGGCACAGCTGCCTAACCTGGACATGGATTTACAAATGTTGCCACCGCAGGAGAGGGAGCTGTGAGAAAGTGCAGGAAGAGAAGGGGTGAAATTACAGGCTGAGGAAGGGATGTTATCATATTCAATAAAAGAGAGATATGGCTCAGTGCATCCAGAGCAGGGCTACAAAAGTGATCCAAGGGATGGGACACCTCTCCTACGAGGACAGTCTTGAGAGAGCTGGGACTGTTCAGCCTGAGGAAAAGAAGGCTCTGGGAACACCTGAGAGCAGCCTTTCAGTGTCTAAAAGGGAGCTATTACAAAGAAGGGGACAGACTCTTTAGCAGTGGTGACAGGACAAGAGGAAGTGGCTTCAAACTAAAAGAGAGGAGATTTAGATTGGATATAAGGGAGAAGATTTTTACAATAAGGGTGATGAGGAACTGGCACAGGTTGCCCAGACAGGTGGTGGATGCCCCATTCCTGGAGACATCCAAGGTCAGGCTGCGTGGGGCTCTGTGCAACCAGGTGTTGCTGTGTCCAGGTGTCCCTGTTCACTGCAGGGGAGTTGGACTAGGTGACCTTTAAAAAGTCCCTTTTAACTCAAACAGTTCTATGATTCTATGATGATTACTCATGGATTCAAGAATAACGGATGTGAAAATCACAAAATCATGAAGGGAAAAGTGCCGAGACCACAGCCAGTTGATTAGGCTGGCGATGTAGACAATGTTGTGAGCCGGTGTGATTAGCAGTGCCCACAGTCTGCAAGTCTGTCCTGGCCCCAGTCTTGCTGCTCCCACCACCCCCTCCATGAGCAATGCCTGCCTGCTCAGCAGACTTCTCAGGCATCTGACTGGAGTGTCAGCATGCTGCTCCTCAGCCAAGTAGCTCTGTAAGCCCTACTGAGCTTTGTGTGCGAGAAACCATATATAATTGCTTTATACTTTGAAGTTGTTTGTATCTAGCTGTCAGAGCCTCTGCAGTGCTACAGTTGGCTAAATACGCAATACTCAAGCACAAAAGATGCCTGCTTTTGTATGACAGTCTTTAGGTAAATTTGCAGGTGTCCTTGCAGGAACATCTTGAGGGTATTTATGGTAATACTGGCTGAACCTGAGATAAGCATGCAGCAAACGTCCTTGATGCCTTGTAAGCCTATCAGTAGAACAGGCCAGATATTTCAGGGAAAAAAAAAACAAAACACCTTACGGTTGTGTTGAAATCAGACAAATTTCCAGTGAAGATGC